TTTAAGAACTCCTCCCTTCCCCCACTCATGCTGCACAGAAAGTTTCTAAAGGCAGAATTTGATCATTTATTTTTTTATTCCTGTTTCCTACTGTCATTAAATGTCTGAACACATTACTGTGCCCACCCCATTGGGGGGCACTGGGCACACTCATTTGCTAGGGTACCCGGAGCTGCACCCCGGGTTGCCAGCTACAGTTACCTGCAATCTCAACTGTCCCACGACCCAGCCACACCCCAGACCAGCTTGATCACCATCTCCTGGGTGGGACCTAAATCCAGGATGACTTTCATCTCAGAGCCTTATTTTTCAGCCACAAAGACCCAGTCCCCAGAGGAGGTCACAAGCTGAGCTTGGGGGGCGGGGCATGAATTTTTTCAGGACATTATTCAACTCACTGCAATCCATAAATATTATCTTTGTTGAACTGAAAACTACTCACACTTAAAATGAACACAAAACAGCCCTTCCAGGCCAGGCGCGGTGGCTCACGCCTGTAATCCTAGCACTCTGGGAGGCCGAGGTGGGCGGATTGCTGGAGGTCAGGAGTTGGAAACCAGCCTGAGCAAGAGTGAGACCCCTGTCTCTACTATAAATAGAAAGAAATTAATTGGCCGACTAATATATATAGAAAATTAGCGGGGCATGGTGGCGCATGCCTGTAGTCCCAGCTACTAGGGAGGCTGAGGCAGGAGGATTGCTTGAGCCCAGGTGATTGAGGTTGCTGTGAGCTGGGCTGACGCTGAGGCACTCACTCTAGCCTGGGCAACAAAGCGAGACTCTTGTCTCAAAAAAAAAAAAAAACAGCCCTTCCATGTAAACGTCCTCCTCCTCGTTTTGCTAACTCTGCTTTTACTTTTTCCTGCCCTTTCGCCCACCCCAGCCCACGACCCCTAAATACCACCTCTGCCGTTTCTCCCATGCCTGGTTTTTGCAATGTCATTGTGTTGTTTGCAGTGCATAATTGCTTCAAATCCTTCCTGGACCAAGGAAGGGTGGCTGGGTAGGAATGTTTAAATAACCGGACAGTTAACAGTTATGCTAAAAATTCATACTTAAAAGGAATTCATTGAAGGGCTTCAAAGATACTACCTCAATAATCTTGGAGCAGTGGGGGCGGGGTTCTATCTCTCAGGGGACATTTGTGGTTGTCACGACTGGGGGGGGGGAGCTCCTGGCATGGGGTGGGTGGGGGCAGGGACGCTGCTCAGCACCCTGCAATGCCCAGGATGGCTCCCCCCAGAGAAAAATCCAGCCCCAAATGTTCACAGTGCCCAGGGGGGAAAACCCTGTTGCAGATATTGAAAGTGAGTGTAGCTTTCAGCTGAACAGAAATAATGTTTGCTAGTCATTTAAAAGAAAAAGGAGAAAGAGTCGCTATAGATGTGTGTCCCCGCGGGGAAACCTGCAGCTCTCGGAAGGTTTGTGGTGACTCAGGGTTCCAGCTCCCATGTGAACCCTGCGAATGGGATGGATTTTTATTGCAAACCCCCCAGTGGGCGGAGATGTGAATGCCTGCCCCAGAGCCGGTTTCATTCTGAGAAGTGGAGCTCGGGCTTCTCAGAGAAGCGGCCGAGGACGGGGATTACCCGCCAGTCTCCCAGAAGAGCTGGTAAAATCAGGGCCGGGCTTCCGGCTTCCGGGCAGCTTTCGCATCTCTGAGAGTGAATAGAACAATGAGTAGATGATCTGTTTTGAAGTCCTTCTGGGAGAGGCGATTGCCTGCATTTTAAGGCTGAGAGTTCAGACGTGGAGGGAGAAAGGACCAGGGAGCAGTACGGAGGGACAGGGACCGGGTCCTCCTGGGCAGGGAAGGACGCGCTGCCCCTGGCACCACCTGTGACCCCACCTGACCAGGGTCTCTCCCCTCAACACTTGGGACATTGGAGCTGGATTAAGTTTCTTAGAGACAGGGTTTCACTCTGTCGCCCAGGCTGGAGTGCAGCGGCACAATCACAGCTCACTGCAGCCTCCAACCCCAGGCGTTTTAACCATGTACACACCTGTGTTACCATCACCTGCATCAGGATGTGGAACATTTCCAGCACCACCCCCAAAAGCTCCCCAGGGCCTCCCCCCAAATGCATCACTATTGTGGTGTTGCTGTCATCGGTATTATGATTTTCATTATCATCATTACTGTCTGCACTTTTGCTCCTGAAGGCAGAAAAAAGCATACAGATTTGGGCTTCAGCATGAGGTGTTTGGGTCGGGCAGAAGGAAGAACCTCCTAGAAGGTTCTAGAAGGTTCTAGAAGACAACCAGCCTGCACCTGCTCGGAGGTGTTGAGAAGTCAGTCCTCTGGCCGTAGGTGCAGCGAGGGGATTCGGGGTATGCACGAGCGAGAGCTCTGGTTCCGCTGCCTTCAAGGGGCACGAGTCTTTGGACGAGCTGCGACTCACTCTCCGGTCTCAATGTCCCTGTCTGTAAACGGAGTCTCTCAGGTTGTTGTTAGGATGAGCCGAGACAAGCATGGCGCCTGGTGCTTGGGACGGAGTCTACTGACAGCAACAGTCTTGGCAATAATGCACTGGTGCTGAGAAGTGACATTTCTAGCCACCCAGAAGTAAACCCAAGTCAGGAATGGGCCCGGACTGGCCCGGCACGGCGGCTCACACCTGTAATCCCAGCACTTTAGGGGGCCAAGGCGGGAAGACTGATTGAGCCCAGCCTGGACAACATAGAGAGACCCCAACTCTGCAAAAAATTTTAAAAATTAACCGGGCATGCTGGCACACACCTGTAGTCCCAGCCACTCAGGAGGCTGAGATAGGAGGATCACTGGAGCCCAGGAGTTGGAGGCTGTAGTGAGATGTGATTGCGCCACTGCACTCCAGCCTGGGTGACAGAGCAAGACCCTATCTCTAAAAGAAAAAGAAAGAGACAGTCCCCTGGCCAGAAGCAGGAGCCATAATGGGCCCAGTGCCCCAGGACAGAGTCAGAGCCTGGAGCTGGCTGTGGGCTGCAGTGTACTCGCTCATTCTCTGATTTTATGGATCTGGGAGCCTTGGTCGGGTGCAAGACGGGGCTGAGGTCCCACCGGGCTGGCGTAGGGCCGTCACTTTCACTTAGTGTTTACGGTGGTCAGAAATCTAATTTCCCTTCCTTCTCTACCAAGTCCTGGGAGGGTGTCAGGACCCCGTTTGCTGACTCGGCCGGGCAGGGCCTCTGAGTCGACCTGGGCGGGGGAGGGGAGTTCCAGAGGCCCTGGTTCCTGTGTTTTCACGGTCAAGGCCCTGCTTTCTCTGCAGGACTGGGCGCAGGCTCTCATTCGCACGTGTGTGTGTGTGTGTGTGTGTGTGTGTGTGTGTGTGTGTGTGTGTGTAGGTGGGAGGGCAGGCATCCCCCCGCCGTCCCTAGGTTGCTAGGTCAGATCTTGCAGGGGGTGCTCTGGCCCCCCAGGGGACACTGAGCAATGTCAGGACAGATCTGTGGTTGTCAGGACTGGGTGGCAGGGGAGCTCCTGGCATGGGGTGGGCGGGGACAGGGACGCTGCTCAGCACCTGCAGTGCCCAGGACGCCCCTCCCCAGAGAACGACCTGGGACCAGAGTCCGCAGAGCCCAGGGGAGAGACCCTGGCTTACGAGAAAGCCCCCGAGGCTACCTGCTTCCTGCGGCAGAGCCTCCCGAAACCTCCCGGGGAGCCGGGGCTCTGCCTGCCCCACTGGGCTGCAGGAAGCCGTCTTCCTGCCGGACCTCAGGCGCCCGTTGGCCTCTGCTACAGCGACGCCACCCAGGGCAGCTGAGCAGGACTCGTGCAAGGCCCTCAGCTTCAGCCCAGGCCCCGCAGCCCTGCGGCCACCCTATGTGTGGGTGGAAAAAACCCCATTGGTTTGTGGAAACAGCAAATGTTTGTAAAGGAAGAGGGGCTGGGCTGGCTCTGGGACGCCACACGGGACCTTCGAGGCCACGTGAGCCCAGGCGGGCCTGCAGCGGCTCAGGAAGCCGGGCCTGGGTTGGGCCCAGGGCAGGGGCCTCTACTGACCTCCCGGGGGCAAGCCCACTGCCGAGTGAGCCCCGCTGGGCAGGACGGGGCCTCCCCGAGAGCCGAGGGTGCCCCAGCTCTGTGCTGTGCAGAGCGTGGTCGTGGCAAAGCAGCATCCTCACGGGGACGGGGGACAGGCACGCAGCCGAGCTGGGTGCAGGTCCTGGCTGCTCAAGGACACCTCGAGTCTCTCCGCCCACACACTAGGGGGCTGGTGCTGGCCTGGCAGACGGGGTGTGGCCGGAGGGGGCAGGCTCCCTGCCAGCCCCTCCCTCCAAGCCTTGGTGGGAATGAAGAGAGCTGGTGCTGTCCCCAGGAGGGCCCTCACTCTCCATGCACTGAATGTCAGAGACAGACGCGGCCCCAGCTCCATCCAGGGGCTGGCGTGGGGCAGAGGATCCCATTCCGGGGAAAGTGGCAGGTCCAGAGCGCCCAAGCCCACCCGACCTCCAGCGTCCGATCACGGGGCCTCCCCTCCTTTCCTGCCGACCTCTGGCCCTCGTCAGCTGTCCCACCCCCTCATTTCCTCCGTCCAAGGTTAATCGGTCGCCCCCTGACTCTGCTACCTCCCCCTTTGCCCCGGCACGTGGCTCACATAAAAGCAGAAACCAGAGATGGAAAAACACCCGAGTATTCCAGGTTCGGGCTCGTTTCCCTGCATGTCCTGTTGTCCTCGCACTGAGGCGGGTGACACACCGCGCTTTGACCACACGTTGGGGCTCCCGTGTTCCCAAATGGAATAATACAACTTCTACAGAAAACCTGACCTTTTCTTGCTTTTTTTTCCCCTGCAAAAGAAACAACAGTTGTCCTTTTCTGAACGCTTGGGTCGCAAAAGAATAAGGCCTGTCCCCTCCCCAGGGCATTTTCTGCATAGGACACAGCCGTTTCAAATTCCCACGCCCCATTTGTGGGGACAGCAACATGGTTAGAAACGCCGGAGATAGCTCTCCGGGCGCCTTGTAAGTAAAAAGTATTTAACCATGCTTTTGTCTTTCTCTCCTTTTTTAACCAGGGCGTACAGCCGTGCTTCCTGGGAAAACTATAAAAGGTATGTAGCGTTTTATCTTACTTCAAGAGCTTGGAATCTCTTGTTTTTTAGCAAAAGGAACAAACAAGCCACAGTATTTTATGGGCCCCTGACACATGGGGAGTCAGAGTCATCCCACAGAGAGCTCTGGGCTCGGAGCCAGGAAACCCGAGTTCAAATCCCCGGCCCACCTCTCCCCCCACCCCACCCCGCCACATTTGGGTGGGTCCCCGTCATCTGTCTGCACTGGAGATAACATTCCTCACGCTGCAGGAATGTTGCAAAGATTAAATGAGGCTACAGATCTCGAAATGTTAAAAAAAAAAAAACCTCCAGCACAACCCCTGGCATGTGAGAAATGTGAGTCGAATCCGAAACCGGGGCTGTTCCGGTCACTGGTGTATTTCTAAGAATCCGTGCGTTTCACGTGGATTGTCTCATCGGGCGGTGCACGCTTGTCCACACAGCGCGACATCCTCCCCTAATCCTTTTGATTTCCATGAGGTCGGGGCATGAGTAACCGTCCCGCTCTCGCGTTTCTGACTCTGTTCATTCTTGCATCTTCCATCTCCGCAACGCTCTCCCGTTTTGTTTGGTGGTGGTTTTTGTTGTTGGTGTGGCGTGTTTTTTTTTTTTTTTTTGGTCAATGGAGCTAGAGGTCTGTCAATTTCAGGGTCCATTTCGAAGAACCAACTTTTTTGGTTTCCCCATGCTGCTGATTCTCTAGTCTTTATTTATTTATCTCTCCCACCTATCCGTTTCCTTCCTTGCGCCCGCGGGTTTCGTTCACCCTGGCCTGCACTTTCCCCGGGATGGATCCTGCATGCCACGCGGCCTGATGGAGCTGGGGGCCGCCGTCTGTCTCTGAACATATCAAATGGCCATAGGAGGATGGGGTGCAGGGGGGGGCGGGAGGCCTCTCGCTGACCAGCAGCAGCTCCTCCTTGCATTCCACACACGGCATTGGAGGGAGAGGGGACTCGGCCAGGGAGAGCTGCCTCCCGGCCACAACCGCCTTCAAGGGTCACGGCAGTCGGCTGCGGCAAATTTCCGCAGAGCTGAACAGGCTCGCTCCTCGGGCGTCGTAACCGGGGAGCAAGGCAGTGGCCTGCGCAGCCCCGGGCAGGGTGGTCGAGGGCAGGCTCCTGCCACTCCCTGCGTCCCAAGCCTTGGTGGAGATGAGAGAGCTTGGCGGTCTGTTTCCCTCGTGCGTCCAGCGAGCGCTCATCTTCCAATGCAACGGATGCAGAGACCCAGGACGCGCCACTCATCAGCGGCGTGGGCCAGTGCGAATCCTTCCGGAGCGCGGTCAGACCGCGCCTTCCCCGCCTCCTCCTGGGACGCACTGGGAGTCTGAGGGCGCGTTGTGTCGTCTCTGCACATGCCGCGGTTGGTGTGGGGAGAGGGAGGGCCGGGAAGGATGTTTTCGGTTGGGAACGGGTTTCTGTGCCGTTGTCTCTGGACCCCTGGGGAGGCCGCGCTCCCCTCGGGCTGGTTTCGGGCTGCGGGGTCTTGTCCCTGCAGAGTGTCACCTGTTCGCCTCTGGGTGAACTGCGTCTGCAGCCAGGACTCTGGTGGCCGCACCTGCCGCGTGGCCGGATGGACATTAGGACCCGACATGCCGTTTTGGAGGGACGAAGTTTAACCCGTAACCCCCCCCAAACCCTGACCTGTGTGCGCTGGGACCCCCTCCCCACACCCCAGCCCACCTCCGTCTCTGACGGGATTGTGACTTCTAGGGACACTTCAGGGCCAGCTCTCCCTCCCTCTAGGCTGCTTCTGCCGGGGGTGCGGGGTGTTCCTTTAACGGCCCCCGTGTCTTCTGGGATTTATGTTTTTTTTTGAGACAGGATCTTGCTCTGTCGCCCAGGCTGGAGTGCCGTGACGTCAGCCTAGCTCACAGCAACCTCAAACTCCTGGGCTCAAGCGATCCTCCTGCCTCGGCCTCCCGAGTAGCTGGGCCTACCAGGTGCCACCACTACGCCTGGCTAATTTTTCTATTTTTTGTAGAGATGAGGTGTCGCCGTTGCCCAGGCTGGTCTTGAACTCTTGAGCTTAAATGATCTTCCTGCTTTGGCCTCCCAGAGTGCCACACACTGCACTCCAGCCTGGGTGACAGAGCAAGATGCTGCCTCAAAAAAAACACATTTTTTTTTAAAATAATTTTGCTCCCAACGTGTCTCACCACTTCACCCTGGCCCTGGCCCCGGCCCTGCACACTTGATGTAACGATGACGACAAAGTCAGTGAAGATTCAAAACTCGGCCAGTTGCTGAGTGGTTCCCACACGTATGGTCCTTTTACGTCTGCAGATCCTTTTACGTCCTCCGCACATGGAGCATGGGTCCCCACCCCCGTCCCCCCCCCCCAGTTTTCCCGACAGGGAGACCAGAGCTCCGGTGGTTGCCATAGGCAGGCCGGACCGCGGGCGTGTGGCCCCAGAGCCCGCCCCAGCCAGACGCGCACGTGTTGGCCGATGGGCGGCAGGTGCGGCGGAGCCCTCGGCCGGCTCAGGTGTCGCCAGCATGCAGGCTCCAGCCGCCAGCCGCGTGGCCGCATGCCACTGGGATTAGGTCCCTGTGCTGCAGCACCTGCCAGGGGGGATGAGAAAAACCTCCAGCGATGACGTCAGGCAGCTCCCATCCGCCTGTGGCCAGGCAACCCCCAGCCCAGCCCCAGGCGGCCCACAGGCCCCCGCCGCCACCTGCCTCGCCGTCCCAGGCTGCCCCCACTCCGCCCCTCGGCGACTACAGGCCAGGCCTAGCTGTTCTGCCACGTTTAGTTCTCCTGGGAGCCCTGGGGAGCAGGCTTCATGGTCCCTCTTTGGTAGGTGGGGAAACTGAGGCACAGCAGCGGAAAGATGCAGGGCTGGTCAGAGGTGGGGCTGGATTGGAACTCCTGACTGGCCACAGAGCACCCGGTGGCCTCCCAGGCTGCACGAGCCACCTGCCCATGTGGACAAGGCCCTGTGGAGCCCACCAGGGCCACCTTCCCTGGGGCAGAGTCACAGCGGCTGGGAGATTGGTGGGAAGGCGAGTGGAGGAGGCAGAGTCCGCAAAACGAAGAGAAGCGTGTACAGCACGTTCACCGCAGCGCCGTGCACAGAGCACAACGGTGGACGGATGGACACACACACGACGTGGTTTATAAACACACTGGAACATCGCTCAGCCATGAAAAGGGACTCTGACACAGACCACAGCGTGGAGGGACCTTGAGGACATCGTGCTCAGAGAGAGACGCCAGACAGAGAAGGACACCCAGTGTGTGACTCCACTTATATGAAATATGGGGCGGACGCGGTGGCTCAAGCCTGTAATCCCAGCACTCCTGGAGGCTGAGGCGGGAGGATTGCTTAAGGTCAGGAGTTCGAAACCAGCCTGAGCAAGAGCGAGACCCCGTCTCTACTAAAAATAAAAAAATTAGTTGGGAGTGCTGATGCCTGTAGTCCCAGCTACTCAGGAGGCCAAGGTGGGAGGATCCCTTGAGCCCAGGAGTTGGAGGCTGCAGTGAGCTGTGATGATGCCACTGCACTCCAGCCTGGGCGACAGAGTGAGACTCTGCTCAAAAAAACTACCCGAAACTCCGCGGCTTCTAGCAACACACATTATCACGTCACTAACTGGGTCCTCTGTCCAGGGTCCCACCAGGTAGCAGCCAAGCCGCGTTCTCATCCGGAGGCCCGGCTGAGGAAGGGTCTGCTTCCCGGCGCCCTCTGGGTGTGGCAGAATCCATTTCCTTCCGGTTGTAGGGTTGTGCACCTGGCTACTCACTGGCTGTCAGGTGGAGGCCACACTTAGGGGTTGCCCACTGCCTGGTCCCCCTTAAATCCGTATGTTGAAATCCTCACCCTGCAAGGAGAGACATGAGGAGGCGACGAGGTCAGGAGGTCGCAGCCCTCACGAATTGGGCTTAGTGCCCCTCTGAAGGAGGCCCCAGAGAGTTCCCTCACCCCTTCCACGGTGTGAGGACACAGCGAGAAGGTGCCATCTATAACCCGGAAGGTGAGTCCCCAGCGGACACTGGATCTGCCACGTCTTGGCCTGGACGTCCAGAACTGGGAGAGCTCAGTCTCCGATGTTCATGAGCCTCCCAGGTATTTTGTTAGCGCAGCCTGGAAGGGACAAAACACCCACTGCTCCCGGCCACGTGGGCTTCCCCGACACAGTCACCGACTCCAGCCAGCCAGCAAGGAAGGTCCCTCGAGGTGGGGCCAGGGGTCTGAGAGTCCCGGCCCTGAGGAAGCACCGAGAAACTTCAACAAGATGGTGCTTTTGGGGGGGCTGCGGTGGCTCTTCCTGTGCACGCCGTACGCTTCCTGCCTGCCGGTTGTGACCCAAGCCGTCTTCCCCCTATTCTGCAGAGATTCTGAGAGCCACGGGCAGCCCAGCCCGAGGCAGCCACGTTTCCCCTTTGAGTGACAGCTGCAAGAGACCTCAGCACTTCCTGGGGCGGCCCGGGGCTTGGCTGCGTTTTCTGCATTGACAAGAAAAGGCGTCATGGAACTTGGACAGACAAGAAAAGGGGATGTGAGCGTGTGCAAAACCACACACTTGCGCTCCTCGTTAGAAATTCCACGTGGGTCATCGAAACCTCATCTGGGGCAGAGGCCATCAGGAAGCTGGGACGAGCTCACGGTCACAAGGAGTTTTGTGCCAACCCAGGATGGGCATTGAGGCCCCTCCCACCCGGTCAGCTGGTACTTAGCGGGCGTGGGGGCAGCGCGGCGGGGAGGCCCGGCCTTGGCAGCTGCAGTGCTGGAAGGTTCTGCAAGGAGACTAAAATTCCATGCTTAGGTCACACTTAGCTGGTATGGAACCTGCCTCGTGGGAGTCCTGGATGAGAATGCAGATTTGCAAGCCCTGCCCTCCCGCCCCCACCGCCGCCCCGCCCCGCCGGCGTTTGCAGAAACTCTCCTCTGGACCAACGCTGTCTCCTCTCTGCCACTTCACTGCGTCCCTAAATTGTGGGGCTGCCCCTTCTGCAGAGCCTGGGGGGGTGGACACACTGTGCCAGGCACA